GAGGAAGGAAGGAAGGAAAGGAAAGGAAGGAAGGAGGGAAGGAGAGAAGGGAGGAGGAAAGGAGGGAAGGGAGGAAGGGAAGGAAGGGAGGGAGGAAGGAAGAAAAGAAACTTAGGGAGCAGCTAAAGTGAAGGAAGAGATGACACAGCAGCCTCCCAGATGGAGGTGCAGCCTCCTAGGTCCCCACAGTGGCCCACAGAGACATAGGGCTGTGCACAGCCTCGTCCTCACGGAGTGACAGGGGTAAGGGCTGCTGGGACAGTGTCCTGGAGCTGTTGATCCTTCTGCCACAGGCCTTCCTGATCACCATTGTGAGTCACTGGCGCAAAGCAAGCCAAGTACCCTCTGCGGGTTTGCTCAGAGTCTGGGTGAAGCAAGGGTTATTTTCCCCAAAACAACCTTCTGCAGCACCATTCCTGGAATCTGCATTAGAAGTGATGTTTAAAAAAAATTGAAATCTCTGTTTGGAGCTGATGCTGTTATTCATGACCACTTTCTTCTAAAAGCCCCAAACCAAAAGGTAGCAGCATGTGCCAAGTTCATGGTCATGGGCGGCTAACAGCATCTGGCCATCTCCCACAGGGCGCTGCTGGACTCAGTGGAGCGACTGTGTTGAGAGGCAGCTGCTCCACACAGACCAGAAGGAACTGGTGGTTCCACCATCCTGTCTGCCGCCACCCAACTCTGCTGTCACCCTGCGCCTGGCTGTCCTGAGAGGCCAGAAGCTGGAGAACCAGGCAGAACGATGCCTCTACGTGTCTGTTGCTCCGGAACTCAGACCTCGAATCAGGTGGGGATTGTGGGCAGATTCCTCCAGGGCTGTCGTTCATTCATTCAGCCGCCAGTTCCTGAGAGCCAACTCCTGCTGGCCCTGACTTAGGGACAGAAGTGAGCAGACACATCCCCATTTCTGATCTCCTGGGGGCTACCGCTGGAGATCAGCCCCTCCTATGACAGCTTCCCCAAATGCAGGATCAGAGAATGTTTTGCTCCGGAACAAATGAAGGAGGAGGAGGAATTAGGTGGGCAGAGAGGTGCGGTTGCACAGGGAACAGTTTGGGCAAAGAGAAGGAGCAGAGAGTCAATAGGAAGTGAAAGAGGCCAGTATCCTGATTATGGAGAAGGCAGGGGCAGGAAGAGGCTGGTGGGACAGGTAGGGCCTTGCAGGTCATGTCAAGATTTTGGTCTTTTCCCTGAGAGTGTTACAGAGAAAGCCACCCAAGGGATCCAAGCACGTGGGGGATATGCTTGCATGTTGCTTTAAAACGCTCTGGGGTGGCTCGGCGTCTGTGGCTCAAGTGGCTAAGGTGCCAGCCATATACACCTAAGGTGGTGGGTTCAAATCCAGCCTGGGCCTGCCAAACAACAATGATGGCTGCGACCAAAAAAAAAAAAAGAAAAAAAAACAGCCATGCATTGTGGCGGG